GTTTTTCGGTTCATGCAAGGATTGCCAGAGGGCATTGGCGTAACTAATGGGGGTGCCAGGGGGCCAAGGCCTCCTCCAGAATTATCTAGGCCCCCTCCAGAATTTTTGGTGTTTGTTTTTGACTCACCTGTATTTTGTCAAGCTTGTTAAGTTCAATGCTACTATTTAGCAGTGATTAATAAAATTGGACCACCAACAAATATTTTTTAAAGTCCTTTATGTTGATTACTTTTGTTATGTTCTGGACTAGAAGAAACAATTTTGAAAAATTATATTATATCAAATCGATGGCAATAAGACGTCTTCAGGGTCTACAAATTGGCCATGAGCCCAGGAATTTTTCTTTAACTTGTGGAAACTTCGTAAAGCTTCGTAACGTAAAACATAGAAGTTCAAAGAAGATTTTAGAAATTAAGTAAACTTGGTAGAAATACTGGGAAATTCATAGGCCTTCAGAAAATTTCGTAGAAAAAGGAACTTGGAGAAGTTCTGAAAACTGCGTAGAAGTAGAGAATTCGTAGAAGTAGAAGTTAAAGGTACATTTATTTTAGGGAAGCTCATTATTGATCGGGAACCTCTACATAATTTCAGGTTTTTTAGCCTGATGGACTTGAAATAGTTGTGGAAATTCAACAGCAAACTTTGTAGAAGATTTTCGAATTTCGTAGGATTCTCAGGAGCTGCGTAAAACTTCATATAAGTGTAAGGCATTTTGAAAAAGTTCAGGAAATTTTTTAAAAGATCTAAAAATAGTTCAATAAACTTCTAAGAACTTCAGGGATCTTCGCTTCAGTGTAAGGAACTTCGTTCCAGTTTTTCAGAGATCTTACTTAAAAAAAGCTCTATGAACTTCTTGGAGGTTTTGGGAACTTTGCTAAGCTCAAGGAACTTTCTAGGTGTTCAAGAATATTTGTAGATGTCTTAGCTGTCTTTTAACTTCTAGATATTCAGAGATCTTTGTAGAATTTAAAGCAATCGAAAAAAAATATGTAATGTAAGTTGTAAGTTGAGGAAATTTTGTAAAACCTAAGTTTTGTAGATGTTCAGGAAACGTTGTATGGGTTGCAAGATATTCTTTCAAAAATTCTTCCTAGACATCAGGAAATATTCGTAAGATCTCCATATAGTCCACGATATTAGTAAAATTCACTGGATATTTGGTAGGTTGTAGGTTGATCAGGAAGTATTCAAAAGTTTTCCAGCTAATGGAATCAGATGGAATCTTGAATGATGAATCTTGATTTTATGGCCATATTTGTACATTCTCTATACGGAAGACCCGTGCCTTGGTGTTTTAGCTATATTGTCACAAATTTCCGGGCAGAAATGTCAATTTTTGCATATACCTAATATGTATAAATTTCTTTCTTTTCGATGAATTGTATGCCCGGAATTCAGCTGCCGGATAGTTTGCATAGATCAGCACATAAAAAATTCCATGCTTTTGGTGTGTATTTTTTGATTAAACAAATTACCTGAAAAAGCTCTTTCCTGTATAATGTACGTGTAAATAATAAATTGATACCAAATAGGTTTAACCACAACTAACTAAATTTAAAATATTAAAAACATCCCAACTTTTGTAAAAATAAGTTTAATTACTATCAAGTTATAAACAGGAACACAATCATGCAAGTTTCGAGTTCATTCCTTTTGATTAGAAATATAGTTATATCTTGATTTTGTTAGTTAGTTCTTACATTAAAAAAAAATGTGATAAATGCTTTATTACTTTTTTTTTCAATTCAAATATCAGAATCATGCAAAATACCGTATCTTAAAAACCTGATGAAATTTAATTATAACTTGATTATTCACAATTTTTGCCACATGTGAAGATTTTTCGAAATTTTTGATTCCTAATTTTTTCTTACTTTCTTATCTCGAACAATTTTTCTCTCGAGAATTGCTGTGAGTCTCAGAATCTAGGTAAGTTTCCAAGGATCTTGAATTACGAATTTCGAAGACCAGGAGAATAAAAACTTGTCGAAGCCTATGATATAGATTTTTTTAAATTCAATAAATTTATTTTGAACAAAATTTCGTCCACAATTTTTTTAAGAAGGCACATTTATTTTGTGGAGTTTTTTTTTTAACTTTTGATTAGGTCAAACATACAATTAGTATTTAAATTCTTATTTGTTTTTAATATTAATCTACTAGAATTTTGATGAAATGACTGTCCAGGAAAAGGATATTGAAATTTTATTATAGTCTTATAATTGATCTGAATTCGTTGACTTTTATTAACATTTGTATTCGAAGAATTAATGCTTACAATTTGTATCAGAGATATCCTTTTTTATTAGTTACAAAATCTTGCAAACATATGGGTTTGGGATTACAAAACTATTTTCATTGTAACATTAACAATGTTAAGAATTGTGCATCTGCAGCATATGCATGTACGCAATTAGTGGATTTATTAGTTATTTCGACGCTTTTTAACAATGCTTGACATTTCCCAATTTTTTAAATTATTTCCTGCATTGCTACCGATGCGTACAAATATTTCTGATCGATTGGTGATAAAATTATTAAAATTGGTCCAGGAGCAGCTGAGTTATTAACGTTCAAAATCTTTCATAATTTCGTTACATGTTCCATTTTCAGTTTTCACAAAGCGTACCCCCATATTGAAATCACCGACGTAGTTCTACATCAAAAAATTGTGCATCTTGAACATTTTCCTACGTCCTAAATGTATTACATTTATTCTGTGTGCACTTTACCTTGAAACAGCCAGAATTTTATACAATTATAAAATTCAAACTCCTAGAATTTAATTTCAGTTCCTGTGTCTAAAATTTGACTGATGGTGATATATTCAAAATAAAAAAAAATCTAGTTACAAAATTCATGAAGTTACCTAACCCTGATAATTTTCTTAAGTTTGAGATGCTTACATTTATAAGATCCGGACTGTGATTTAAGTACAAAAAACATGAACAAACGATCATTGCTTGTTCAAAATCAGTAAGCGTTTAAGGCTCTCCCAATCGAGGCCCTTATCGTTTTTATGGAATAAATATAATCAAATTTATTGTTTCACCATTAAAATACTAGTAAGCCTCAATGTCATTTTTTTTCAATGTCATATTATTGGTCACAGAAAAAAATGTACCCAAAAAAAAATTACCTTGGACGCAATTGGAGTGATTGCAATTTGCAAAATTAAAAAAGTGAGCAGCAGACACCCTTCGGCCCCCTCCACATTAATTTTCTAGCTACCCCAATGCTATAGGGGAATAGCAAAGTAATAATTAGAATAAGTTAATGGCCTACTCTGGTATCGAAACATAATTTGATATTGATATGACAGCAAATTGATTAAATTAAATATCTTACACATAGCTTCATTAGTTAGAATAGCAAAATGTGAAATTAATTTGCTTCAATTTATTCTATTCTTTAGATATGGCAACGAATAACTTTGCTGCTACTCATCTATGGTCAGGGCTATGAGTAACCAGCTCCACAGAATGTTTTTTGGGTTACATGCGCTCCTTTAAGCAAAGCTGAACCAAAATGCTTTTAAATGTGGAGTGGAAATATTACAATTTAAAGATTGGCCATCAAGCTTACAGTCCGATTTCTTTTCGCTCGCTCTCTCGAGTCGTTCGGTGTTTTAAGTCGGTCATTGGGCGTGTTACCCTTCGCGAGTTTTCGCTTTGGCTAGCAATGTGTCGTCAGTTCTCGCCTCTCTTGTGGCAGTCGTTAAATCGGTAGAAGTGGAGTAACAATTGAATGCCTCCACTCACCCGTTGAAAAAAACAAAAGGTGATGGGTCGCCAAAGTTTGGATGCAACCGCATCCGTTCAAGATGCCCAGAAAAGGCCTCGCAAGAAAGCTCCCCGAAGAAGCAGATGTAGATCCAGTTGAGAAACGGGAAAAAGTGCCCCCACTGTTCACCTCGACGAAGAAACTCGCGTTGCTTAGGAATGAGCTAGCTAAAAATCAAATCCATCCACTGTTCAAGCTGTGCAGCACGGGAATCAAAATATTGTGCTCGACGCTACAAGTAAACAAATTCGCTATTATACTCTTCGTTTGGTTATCGAATTACGCTTTGGCGCCCGAAATGGTACAGGGAACTCATTTACCATCTAATGAACATTTCTGTGAGTGAACTATTTGCGAACGCTTCATGCGTCAAAACTAAACAAGGGGTAATTCGATGGTGTTTGAAAAATTTCAATTCATGTACACCTTTTTACATTTCGATTTTTATAATATGGCACCTGCCACAATAGTCAAAGGCACGAGCCAGTTTTGGAACATGTAAGTTGGAAATAATTGTTCATGGTTGTATTTACTTAGATTTATGGCAAAATATATGTTCTAACCTTGAATAGAAATTAAAGCTGGACCAATAGAAGATAACTGACTGGGAACTTTCCATGACTCAAGCCAAATTAATGATATTTCTCAAAAAACATCCTTCCGGCCTCAAAATTCAATACACTTTCTGACAATTTAATCGCCTTGTTCACGGGTGTTAAAGCCATTGTGTATCAATATTGGAGTGCAACACCAACGCCGAACAATAAAGGTTCATTAGAATAATTGGCAGGTGCTAATGCTAGCATCGTAACCACACTTTTGAATTTATAAACGCCTTCACAATAGGTCTACAGAAGCTACATCTACCGATGCCTCTTGTTTCCCATTCACTGACTCATTATACAATCCATATTTATCGCCACCCATTACGGATGTTTGCTCGTTTGCAAAAGTTCACAGTTCTCAATTAATCATCTCGGTTGAATAATCGGTTCCGACTTCTACGCCCAGCATGAGCTCAATCAGTGCCGAAGGAATTTTTAGAATGGAATTGTTATTTCTTCGGAAAATTGATACGCGGTTGAGTGATTCTGCTTTTTGTATGGCAGCACTTTTTCTTTTCTTCAAAAGAAAAACAAACCAACGGCAACCCTCGGCAACATTGATGTATTCCCACCCCCTGTTAACTCTCATGCTCCCTTTCATAACCCACATACCTGATATTGATTGGATGCTGGATCGGTTTGTCCCAGTCGGTGTACTCGTTCCGGACGGCCGAGAAGATTTCGTTCAGATGGAAGGTAAACGCATTACGGACGTACGTCCGTAGGAGTCGATTGCGTTGTTCTTCCTCCAGGCCGTACTAAAAGGTTTTGTTGTTGTTGTTGTTATTGAGTGCGTGTGGGTGTTTTCGATTCGAAACAGAATTCCCAGTATGAGGATGTGAACATGAAATGAAACAATAAATGTAGGCTCATTGATTGTACTGATTGTGTTCCAGGTAAACATTGACTGGGTGTGGGACAGTTAGGTGGAAAACTCATCATTTTTTTTCAGAAGTACTAACCTGAATGTCGGACGCACTGAAGTCGTTGTAGCTCTCGGTGGTCGTCATCCCGAGCATCAGCTCGCTGGTGATGAACCCCTCACCGGAGTGTTCCATGGCAAACTCCGGATCCAGTGAGTCCTCCAGCGGAAGAAATGGTCCCCAGGAAGGCATGAACCGTACGGCGGTCAGTCTTACACCCATCAGGGCCTCCAGTGGTTTGTCCCGCAGGCAGTCGGTGATGTCGTCGGTCGAAGGTTTTCGGGTGGGTTTACCCGTTGGTGGGTCCACTAGCAGATGGCACGCCATCTGCTGAGACACTTCCAACCGAATGGCGTCCGGATCGGGCATCAGTGCCCACGGACTGAGAGCGGATCCGCTGAGCAGAACCGCTCGGTGGATCAGACCTGAGGAATTGAAGGTGTCAGCTTCAAAGTCATTGAGTAGACGCATATGAACAAACCTATTCCCGCCTTGGAGATCAGAACCATGTTGGCCAGGGCCGCACCGGTATCGTGACCGACGACGGTGATCCGCTTTGGATCACCGCCGAACGCGGCGATGTTGTCTCGCACCCATTGCAGCGCGAGAATGATGTCCATTAAACCTAGATTGCCACCAGAACCACCCGGTGATGCAGAGGCACGAGTTTTGAGAAAACCTGCAAGAGAGAGAAATGCCTTTCACATTGCTTTCATAATGAAATCATATAAATTTAATTCAATGCAATCCAAATGGGGAAAAATTCAGGGTTGTTTCCAGATTTTCTCAATCAGGAGATTTTAATCAAAAAATAATCATCTTGGCTGCGATGGAAGCTGAAAGGGGTTATCCTTTTGTTGAACTTGTAAATCAACCGAACCATGGGGGAATGTTTGCTTTGTGCTCCTTTTGTCGTAAAATGTGCTATAAATTAGTGAAATATATGTTCGTTGTGTGTGTGCAAGTGTGTGTGCGTGTTTGCGTCGGTGAGATTGGGTAGGTAGAATATCATAAATTATGAACAATAATAATACGGTACCGGGCGATAGTTTAGTTGATTAGGTTTGGGAAAAATATTTCCATGGAAGGAGATCGTAGAATCAACAGATTTTATATTATGATTGCTGGACTTGTAAACAATGATGATTAATGTAAAAAGCTTAGAAAAAGGCTTTTCTACAGTGTGATTTTTAAGAAACTTCGATGCCTGTACCCTTTTTAGCATTAGTATAGTTGAGTCGCAAGTCCAATCATAGCCTTTGCCCAGAGAGGTCAAAACATGGTTTAACCCGAAAAAATCCTGGACTGGACCGGGAGTTGAACCCAGTCACCAAAAACGTGTTTTCAGATGCATGTTCGACGAAAATATCAGATGTCACGTCACGCGTTTTTTTAAATGTACGTTGATTTCGTGGTTTTTCGTCTAAAATCAGCACAGGTTGATAAATTTGAATGCCAAAGTTTCTTGAGAAGGACAATGTTTTTACTTGTTTCTGAATCAAAATTTATTGAGTGGATTTTGGTACACAGAAAATTTAATGAGTGCCAATTAGCGCTCATTACAACATCCTTTTACTTTGGTCTTGTTTAGGATTAATTTAACTGTAAAGAGCTGTCCACAGACCATGTCACATTCTATATCAAGCGTTAAATGATCGCACCATTTTACAAGGTAACATTTAATGTCTAATGAGATTCAACGAATCTCCCGATGAGATTCGGGAGATAAAGGAATCTCCCGATGCTAGATGATCTCTAGATGAGATTTAACAAATTTCCCGATAAGATTCTACAAATCTCCCGATGAGATTCAACGAATCTCTCAATGAGATTTAAAAAATCTCACGATGAGATGCAACGAACCTCCCGATGAGGTTCAACGAATCTCCCGATGAGATTCAACGAATCTTCCGATGAGATTCAACAAATCTCTCGATGAGATTCAACGAAACTCCCGATGAGGTTCAACGAATCTCCCGATGAGATTCAACGAATATCCCGATGAGATTCAACAAGTCTCCCGATGAGATTCAACAAATCTCCCAATGAGATTCAACGAATCTTCCGATGAGATTCACCGAATCTCTCGATGAGATTCAAAGAATCTCCCGATAAGATTCAACGAATCTCCCGATGAGATTCAACAAATCTCCCGATGAGATTCAGCGAATCTCCCGATGAGATTCAGCGAATCTCCCGATGAGATTCAACGGATCTTCCTATGAGATTCAACGAATCTCCCGATGAGATTCAACGAATCTCCCGATGAGATTCAACGAATCTCCCGATGAGATTCAGCAAATCTGCCGATGTGATTCAACGAATCTCTCAATGAAATTAAATGAATCTCCCGATGAAACAAATCAAATCTTCCGATGAGAATCAACGAATCTCCTGATGAAATTAAATGAATCTCCCGATGTGATTCAACGAATCTCCGAATGAAATTAAATGAATCTCCCGATGAAACAAACCAAATCTTCTGATAAGATTCAACGAATCTCCCAATGAAATTAAATGAATATCCCGATGAGATTCAACGAATCTCCCGACAAGATTGAAAGAATCTCCCGATGTGATTCAACGAATCTCCCAATGAGATTCAACGACTCTCCTGATGAGATTCAACAAATCTCTCGATGAGATTCAACAAATCTCCTGACGAGATTCAATGAATCTCCTGACGAGATTCAACGAATCTCCCGATGAGATTCAACGAATTTCCCTATGAGATTCAACGAATCTCCCGATGAGATTCAACGAATCTCCCGATGAGATTCAACGCCTCTCCTGATGAAATTAAATCAATCTCCCGATTAAACAAACCAAATCTCCCGATGAAACTTAACGAATATCCCGATGAGATTCAACGACTCTCCCGATGAGATTCAACTACTCTCCCGATGAGATTCAACAAATCTCTCGATGAGATTCAACAAATCTCCCGACGAGATTCAATGAATCTCCTGACGAGATTCAATTTATCTCCTGACGAGATTCAATGAATCTCCCGATGAGATTCAACGAATCTTCCAATGAGATTCAACGAATCTCCCGATAAGATTCAACGAATCTCCCGATGAGATTCAACAAATATCCCGATGAGAGTCAACAAATCTCCCGATGAGATTCAGCGAATCTCCCAATGAGATTCAGCGAATCTCCCGATGAGATTCAACGGATCTTCCTATGAGATTAAACGAATCTCCCGATGAGATTCAACGAATCTCCCGACGAGATTCAGCGAATCTGCCGATGTGATTCATCGAATTTCCCAATGAGATTCAACGACTCTCCTGATGAGATTCAACAAATCTCTCGATGAGATTCAACAAATCTCCCGACGAGATTCAATGAATCTCCTGACGAGATTGAACGAATCTCCCGATGAGATTCAACGAATCTCGCTATGAGATTCAACGAATCTCCCGATGAGATTCAACGAATCTCCCGATGAGATTCAACGAATCTACCGATGAAATTAAATCAATCTCCCGATTAAACAAACCAAATCTCCCGATGAAACTAAACGAATATCCCGATGAGATTCAACGACTCTCCCGATGAGATTCAACGGCTCTCCCGATGAGATTCAACAAATCTCTCGATGAGATTCAACAAATCTCCCGACGAGATTCAATGAATCTCCTGACGAGATTCAATTTATCTCCTGATGAGATTCAATGAATCTCCCGATGAGATTCAACGAATCTTCCAATGAGATTCAACGAATCTCCCGATGAGATTCAATGAATCCCCCGATGAGATTCAATTAATATCCCGATGAGATTCAACGAATCTCCCGATGAGATTCAACAAATCTCCGAATGAGATTCAACGAATTTACCGATGAGATCTCCAAACCCGGGACAATATTGAGGCAGTTTAAACTAAAATCGTTAGATTTATTTTGGACTGAGAAATTCATCAACATAAGCATTCCCAATTGTGGAAATGTCTTGAGTGACTATGATAACTAAGCAGAGTGACAATGACCATCCTATGTCTCTAGGACAGGTTCCGAATTCCTCAAAACATGTGGCCTTAACAATGCCTGATTTTTTTTTCTGGTATACCAACATTTTCTTAAGTTCATGGATAATTCATTAGAGATCATGTCATTTGAACAGTGGCTTTCGTTACTCAATATCCCTGAAAAAGGTTCCAGAAGCCCTTGAGGAAGTTGCCATTATTTGATTTCAACAGAATCAGACGTATTGCACATCAACATTCTCATAATCTCTTGAAAATGCCACAAAAGACCATGCTAACTGAGTAGGGTGACGATGACCACACACAGAGCAGGTTCCGGAATCTAACAAGTGACATATCAAAATTTTCAGAACTGAATAAATGAAAGATGAATTAGGGTGGCTAAAACTACCGCTTCATCAAGCTCAATCGATTTCAAATCAGGTCCTGATAATTCTCCCAAAATTTTAGCTTATTTGCAAGCGAACTCATACTGCACTGGCCCTTTGAAGTTTATTTGGGAATTAGTCTTCTTTCTTTCCTTTATTTATCGTCGGTCTCTGTTCCGCATTCTAGTGCCAATCACCGACGGACATCGATTGCCATCCATTGACGGCAATCGAGAATGTGCAGGAAGGCAGCTTCCACACCTGCGTAGGATATTGCACCCATTCAACACACATGGGCCGGGACCAACGGCTTTACTTCCCTTCCGAAGGAAGACGTGACCAGAGATTTGTATGCCTTAGAAAAATCCCACCGACTTCGGCTGGGATTGAACCCAGACCCATTGGGGTGTTAGAAAGCAGTCACACTTACCACTACACCACCGGCGCCGGCTGGGAATTAGTATGGTTCTCATCGTTCTAGTTCTTCGCTGTAATGATCTATGGAAAAGTTTGCTATCTGTACTAATGTGAAGTTTGCCCTGCTACAACATTGATCCAGACCAAGTTTGGATTGAACGTCAGGATAATACGTTATTAATTAATTAGGAAGATGGTGTTCTTATGACATGCTCCTTAAACTGCTCAATTGGCAACATTGGTGTCCTTGGTGGGAAAAATAGGACAAAAATCTAGGTAACTACACTCCCGATCATAAGTTTAAGGACACCCCCAAAAAACATGACAAATTTGTTATGTTCATATCACTGTCATGTTACCTCCAATTTTCGTTCTCTTTAGATCATTTGAAAGGTATTGAATGGAACTTTCCTCGTAGAAAAATTGTTCAATATAATTTTCAAATTTTGTGTGCTAAAAGTTCACAAAAAGCTACAATATTTTTCAAAATTTACTCTGAAGAATCGTGACTGTTTTTCTCAGAATTGGGTTGGCCAAATTTTGAAATAAAAGTAGTAGTAGAACACTTATGCTATACCATTCATACCATTCAAATAACCTTTGGAGATCGAAAATTGCACGTAAAATGAGAGATCATTGAACAAAACATATTTGCATGGTTTTTTGGGGGTGTCCTTAAACTTATGATCGGTAGTGTATGTCGTAAGTGCAAGTTTCAGTGTCACCCTGAAAGCAGTCGATTAATCATTTCAGAATATAAATATGAAATATAATCGAAAGCTGGTCTTTAGCAAAGTTGTAGCTGATCAAAATTCCCTTATTTGCAGTTAGATAACTTTTCATATATTTCTACAGCAAAGGGCTAGAGCGCTCAGAACAAATAGTTCACTTTTTACATGGT